AATACCTGTTAGCAAATATTAATTTTGCTAACAGGTATATAATTTTGCTAAATTTTTGTTTTTTCAAAAAAACAAGACAAAAAAATTTCATTTTTTGTCCTAATAATATAAAAACGAAGAATTCAAATTAGATTAAGAATATTTTAAAAGTATAAATATATATAATATAATGTAAGAATAATAATTCTTAAGTATTAAATCAAAGTCTATGTTTAACTGTAAAATTGTTCCGATTGCCAATTTAACAAATTAAATAAAATAAACTTTTACATTTAATATAAAAAAATTATTTTCTTGGTTTATTTTTTTTTAAATAAAGCTCACTCGATTTGTTAAACCAATTTTTTTCTCCAATTTACTGTTGGCAAGTCATCTACAAATTGCACTTAAAACAAGCAGGGTATAAACCGATTAAACTATACCCTGCATCTTTCATTGTTGAATAGCCTGTGAAACGATTCGATAGAAACTTCACGAATATGTCTCATCTATAATTAGACACGCGACTGAAAAGTTTCATGAATCTGACTCCATTATTTTTCCAAATATTGAAACTTAACTTTTGGAGCTTTATGACAGCTATTCGAACCTGTCAAACAATTCCATCAAAACTTCAGGAATAAATGTGACCTGTAATTGGGCACACGACTGCTAAGTTTTATGAATCTGACTGTATTATTTTTCCAAATATTCAAAATTAACTTTTGAAGTTGTATGGCAACCACCCGAACCGATGCAATTATTCCATTAAAATTTTTTTAATTTTATCTAGAGCATATGTAAAATGTAATTGAACGCACGTACATAAAATTTAATATCTATACTTTCATTAGTTTTTGAAATATTTAAAACTAACTTTTAAGTTTTATGCCAGCTACCCAAACCCGTTGTCCGAACTTATCCAATTACAATAGAGCACAAAAGAAACAGCTTATGAAAGTTTAGTGGTATTTGCCTTATTCGCTATTGAGTTATCGTGCCATTAAACGGACGGACGGGCATATCTAAATTAACGCAGAATTTTACGTTGAGCAAGAATATATATATACATGCACACATCGCAGACGGCTCATTCAAGTGGTAATAACCTATATATTAACTCAACATCAAAGTTAATTAACCCTTCACGAAGGCGCAGGGAATAATGAAACGTCACTTGTATGTATATAATGAAATCAACATTACTTTAAAAACAAAATTAATACTCGTTTGTCAAAATCAGTATTCAGTTAGTCAAGAAAACAGTCGCTATCTATCTGAATTTAGAATAATACAGGTCCGCTCATATTTTAAAATAAGAATTTGCCAGGGGCGCCATTGAAAACTTAAGAAAAATCCGACATTTATGTCAAAAATAAATTTTTTTTTTTTAATTTACAGTTTTTTTTGAATTTACAGTGAAATTAACTTCATAACATGCACCTATATATAGAAGCATTATATTTTATTCCTAACAATATAAAAAATGTGTATGAAAAAAACTCTGTTATGCAAAACATTAAGACATTGATCTATGTATTTTAATTTCGGTGCATATAATATGTAAAAAAATATGGTCATAAAATTAAAATTATTCGTGCATTTTGTTACTCTACACTACTCCTTCAATTATATTTATTATTCGAATACAATAAATATTTTTTTGAATAATATGAATCATGAGAATTACAATTATTAATTATTACTTCCATTTACATAGTGGTATAAATTCTGCTGTCTGCAATGTGTATTGTCTAGTTAAGTGAAAGTGTTACAAAATGTTATAAAATTGCGTGTTAAATACTTCTTTCCAATTTTTAAGGCATTCGTAAGCTTATATATATATATAATAATATATCAAAAATACACATGTAGAGTTATTTTATATTGGTGATATATATATATGACCAAAACTCTTGCGTACACATAGAGCAAGATTTTTATTTTGCTGAGATTGCTCCCTATCAACAGTTGTACGTACACATAAAATTATACCACAAAGCAAGATTTTTATTATGTTAATGTTGCGCCCTGTTAACGCCCGGTCGTACACATATTTAGATTCTTTCGTATGTGCAAAATTTTATTTTTGTTGAGTCGTCGCCCCTTCAAAAACATGTTGATGTTTAAAAGCACGAAAATAATAAAACTAAAAGAATATCTATTTACTAATAATACCTGTTAGCAAATATTAATTTTGCTAACAGGTATATAATTTTGCTAAATTTTTGTTTTTTCAAAAAAACAAGACAAAAAAATTTCATTTTTTGTCCTAATAATATAAAAACGAAGAATTCAAATTAGATTAAGAATATTTTAAAAGTATAAATATATATAATATAATGTAAGAATAATAATTCTTAAGTATTAAATCAAAGTCTATGTTTAACTGTAAAATTGTTCCGATTGCCAATTTAACAAATTAAATAAAATAAATCGTTTTTAGAATAAAAAATTTGTTTTTTTACCCTTAATAAAATAGAATACATAATTCGCATGCCATGCTTTCATTCGCCAGATTCAAAACGTTGCCACCGCAAGACATCAAAAGACCTAACCAAAATAATGAGGTTAGCACCACAGATATCTGTTTCTTCTATTTTATTTGCAAAAACAATTTTATTTGCTATCTCTTTAGCAATGTCGGGGTCGTTCTCCATTAATTTAATTAAATGTTCGAATTTTGGGTGGTTTTTTTCACGCCTAAATTAATATTAAACAATCAATATTTTTTACAATAAGTTGTAGAATTTTTTGAACTTACTTTACAAGTAGTTTAGATTTTTCCATTATATCATAAATGGTATAATATGGAATAAAAAAAACATTTATGTATTATTTTGATTTTTGGTTTCATTCGCCAAGCTTATCACACAGAATTCTCATTTCATTAATTTGATAGTTTATTCGCCTAAAATTTAGGCGAATTCGCTAATTATAATACCAAAAATTCATATTCGCCAAAAATTTCATTCGCTTCGCCGATCACAATAAGGTTCTATATATAGAAAAGTTGTTGAAGTAGATATAGAAGTTTGACATCATTGATATACTGATAGATACGTCTACCAATTGAAACCCACCCACATAATTTTTGCATACGGTGAGGGAGGTTATGTGACCGCAACAAATTTTTCATATTGAGTTTTCGGTACCCGAAACTTTATTAAGCAAAGAAAAGGAAGCAAATTTTTCAATAATTTTTTTCAAACTAAAAAATAATTTCAAAGGAATATAAATTGAGAAAATCGGATGTGGTCAGCACATAACCGACCGCATTGTGTATTGTCTAGTTAAATAAAAGTATAACTGAACATTATAAAAATGTCTGTTAAATACTTCTTTCCAATTTTTAGGACATTAGTAAGCTTATAGTTAACAAACCTAGAAAAATGTAAATTTGGCTCTTAGTACAGTTTCGCTTTGTGCCACCCGAATTCCCTGAAATACTCGCCAGTTAGTTTCGGTAACAAACAGAACTCAAATATCAAAATTCAAGAAATTCCACCAATTCGTTCCGTAGATATGGTGAAAAATGTAAAATCGGCCCGCAGATCAGTTTCCGAGCCCTGAATTTTCCAAAAAATTTACATCTTCATTTTTTTAATATGAGGAATTCAAATATTAAATTTCAATGAAATCGGTTGATTATTTCTCTTTATATACACAAAAATGTATATTTGGCCCGTAGTAAACGTCTAGCTGCCGATGCCTGATTTCTTCCAAAACACAGGAATTTTCGCGAACGGTCGAGCTGAGCTTATATATAAAATTTCAAGTAAATCGGTTGAATATTTTTTTCAATATGTTCAAAAATGTAAAACAGGCCCGCTAAAAAGTGCAGTTCCCGAGGCCTGATATATACCAAAAGTTGATCAATCCGTGCCACAGTCGAAATAAACTTACATATAAAATTTCATCAAAATCGGTTCAGCCGAACTTGAGATACACGCGTGCACACACAGACCGACAGGTTGCTAAAAATAGTTTATTTACTATGGAGAAGTACGTTCTCACCGAAAACTCGATATGCAAAATTTGTTGCCATCACATAACTTACCTATTGTTTAAACAATACGGTCGGCAAAAAAACATACGAATTATGTCGAAATTGACCCGATTGAAGCAGTTTGAAAAAAATTTTCAGTGCAGTGGCCTAATACTTATCGGAGCAGTGTTTATGAACATAATTTAACTACGGTGAATCTCAATGAATCAGCCCATGCTGAACGGTGAGCACAAAAATAACTTTATTCCAAGTGAACATTTTTAAAACAACAATTTTTTTTAAAGTTGAATAACTAAAAAGTTAAAATTTAATTTCTTTCGTAGAAGAGAACACCCAATATTTTGAAACTTTTTTTATTATTGAGTTTCTCTATATTTAACGATTTCACCTGTGATGCAGGGACTTGTGGTATGTTGTTTTTTAAATTATTTAATTTTTTGAAGTATATATGTGTAGTAGCGTAGTAGTATAAGAAAACCAATCTAATAATCAGAAAAAATTACTTAAAAAAATTCGTCCTTCTATGCCATAATTACCGAAGATGGTTGCCTCTGACGTCTTCTAGTATGAAAATAATAATTGATTATCAATTTCTGGTTAATTCATATCAATCAAAAAAATATTTAGGGCATTCATATAATAATCATAAATAAAAGCGTAGTATATAGTAGTAAAATGTTAGAGCAATTTTAAAATGTAAAAACATTTTCTTTCATTTTGTGCGAAAGGAAAATATAGATTAATGCCTTAATTTTTGTGTACTTTCATGTATTTTTGTGTATATAGTATACGTTATCAAGTTAATTTCGCAGTAAACTGAAACACAAAAATTTTTAAGAAAGACGTAACGGAAAAAAATGTAAAAATTTTAAAGTTTAAGCTTTTCCCTAAGTTTCAAATGGCACCCCTTGCAAATGCTTATAATTTTATAACATTTTTATAATAAACTATTTCATTTAAATAAATTTGAAATTTGTTTGCAATAAAGGTAAAATTAAATTATAAAAATTACATTTTCTAAAACTGCACAACGCCTTCTTTCTACTTTGACTATACTTGATAAGTCACCAATATTAGATTCAAACTCTAAAAAACGATTCCAAACATCAACCGAAAGTTGTGGTGTCAAACCTCCTGATGATAAAACACGTTCAAATAGAACTCTCGTATTATTGTCTTCATTTAAATGCGATAAATAGTCAATGTAGCACATAACATACTCTGGACTTCCACCAAATCTTTTCAAACCTAGTTCAAAGATTCGAAAGGCTATGTCTTTATCCTTAGAACAGTAGTACTCCTGTAAACGAAAAAAATATTTAAAATAGTTTTAACTTTGTTTCTTTACAAATAAGTAAATTTTAAAAATTCACAACTTAAGTATATTATATAATTATTTAATATATAATGATCGTTAATTGCGATAAGAAAATCCAATATTATCCGTTTCTAATAAAATTTTATATAATCAATTTGAAGTATTAAATAATAATTTTTAAAAACTGCCTTCTTTTCAAAAAAAAATTGTTCCATTCCCTATGTGAGACATTTTAAGTTTACTTTTTCTCTTCAAAAACACATCCGTAATATACATACAGATATGTTTCTAAGGAAAGTTCCTAAAAATAATTACAGAGAAGTACATAATTAAACAAATAATTAGTTCCTTTGAGATCTAATATCTTTTAAGTAATTTATTTTAGAACCTCGCTTTGAGTTATGTTGCATGAAATCGTAAATTACCTTTAACAATAAGCACTTTAAGCGATCAATTACAGCATACGCATAAAATAATTCGCTACTAAAATTCATGCACATATTATGTATTTGGACTTTATAATAAATGCGAATAAAACGCGTGAATATAGGGTAACGCGTATAGCATACGATTTCTATGCAAAAAGTCTCAGGTTCGAACCCTGAAAAATGCGATTTGTCAGGTGAACTTTTTTTTTATTGATAATTTTATTTTTTTTTTGTTCTTATTTAAAGTGAAATTAAAAACAGCTTTACCCTTACAAATCAATATCAGCGAGTTTCCGTCCTAAATATTTTTTTGAAAATAACCTATTTTTAAAAGTTTAATGAAATAAAATAACATTTTCTTAATAAATTTTGTCCTAAAAATATATTATCAAAAATTTCATGTACGCTTATGTTTTGCTTACCAATACATTTCGCAGCAGACCGCGAAAGGAGTACATTACTGCGTACCTACACACTTATTATAAAATAATGTAGATTTCATTAACTCTTTACAATTTTCTTGGGGTAGTGTTCACTTCTTGTTATAACTTACACTTCCAAAACACGATTTACATAGAATACTTACACTACCAAAAGTAAACAAAAATTATTCCTACAGGATGTAGTAACATTTTGTAAAAAGCGGTCACAAAGTTTTTTGGGAGGAGGTGAAAGCGGATGGTGTGTGGAATTAATGCTTTTTCTGGGACCCTAAAGGCAAAACCCTATCTAATGCCTTTTGTCCCATGCCTCTAGTCCCTACTAGAAGTACCCGTACTTTTTGATTCTTTAGATTTTGAGATACTTTTTATTTTAATTTTTTTGTTAGTGAGTGACGAACTCGATCCTGGGTCTTTATCAGTCCTGAGGCTTATCGTTATGATTAAATGCTTCAAAAAATTTAAGAATATGTGTAATACATCGTAAATATTTATATCGGAATAGTTTCTAGACCAGACAATTTTAGAAAATGGTCAAAGAAGTGCTTTATATTTTTTTTACAAGAGAAGAGCTTCTTCAGCGCTTCGTGTAGCTGTGCTCGTCATATATTTATATTACTTGGAAGTGTTTCCTGAGTAGTTTTTAGGTAACGTAAAAAAGCGCTTTCTTCATATTTGTAAGGATCTTCTTCCAAGAACAAGAAAAAAAGCCCTTCGTTTTCGTCCTTAAAAAAAGTATTTCTTGCTCAATTTCCTCAAGAGATTTTATATTTCTTTTGTTACCCTTAAATTTATTTGAATTTGGATTTACGCATGAGGTTTTGCTTGATGTTTTCAAACTTCATTGACTTCACCTGACTCTTTCTATATTTTTCCCCCCTATGTAAATATCTGATAATAACACCAGCACTATTAACTGCCATAATATAAATTTCCAACCTACTTTTATTTCGACTTACTATCAAAATGTTAGGGGCTTACGTACAAAATCTCTGAAGTTTTTGTAAATTTAGTTGTCCTCGATTGTGGTATTTTATTTTAACTGAGAACTGGCTTTGCCATACGATTATATTTTTTGAATTATTTGGGAGCAGTTATTCTGTTTATAGAAGGGACAGATATGGTGCTGTCTCAAGTGATTCTGTTGGGGGAACATTGATAGCAAAAGGCGGAGATGTTCTGGTCTCGGTTAAAAATGGTTTTAATACGAATCAGATAGATTTGCATCAGTTTTCGTTTTTGGAAATTGTTGCTATAAAGATGAACTTAATTTGCAAGAATATTTTTATAGTGAATTGTTATATTCCTCCTAATTCATCCGTTGAAACCTATGAAAATTTATGCCAGGCTATTTATTATATTCATTCTTTCATGAATTACTTTTGTTTGGAGATTTTAATCTTCCAAATATTTATTGGACGCTTCATGATGAAGAATGTTTTTTAATACCCGGTCATATTGCAAATGATTCTCAGAAAATTTTCATTGATTGTTTAAACGCTAATGGTCTCCAACAAATTTCTAATAAAGTTAATTTTCAAAACAGACAATTTGACTTCATTGTTACTACAGATTAGAGTACCTTAATTGCAAATGACGAAATGAAATTTCTTTCTCTTTTTACAACGTTCTAAATCCTGACTTATTTACTAATATTAGACGTGATAAAACCGTAAACTCTTCACCACCGTTGAAAAACCGATCCTGAAATTCATGGAATGGAATATAGATATAACGAATTTGATTATCTTTATAATAATAATTCAAAGTCTTTTTGGAATTTTATTAATTCGAAAAGATAGTGTGACCAATTTCTATCTTTTATGAATTATGAGGGTTCCAATAATTCATTTCATATTACACAAGTGTTTCGTGATTTCTTTTCAGCTCGTATTCTAATAATATTTTTAATATTAACTCTGACAATTTTAATCATCTTGATACCTTTCTAATTCTGCAGATTTCTTCAATGGACTTTTCCATTTCTTGAGTAAAAAATATTCGGACGCGCTTGAGACAGATTGTTCTCCTGGCCCTCATAATGTTCCTAAAAGAGTACTAAAAAACTGCTCTTTATATCTATCTGGTCCGCTGTCAATTTTGTTTACTCGCTTACTTTCTTGTGGTCATTTTCCGTAGTTTTGTAAGGAAGCATTTATTCGCCCTGTTCATAAAAGAGTCCCAAAAACGAGGTGACCAATTATCGATAAATTATTTGAACTTATATTTTTTGATTCCATCTATGATCAGTGTTTGGGCCTTTTGCTGTCGAATTAACATGATTTTGTAAAAAAAAACGATCAACCGATAAGTAATTTAGTAGATTTGACTTTTTTCTGTTTGAATGCTATGGATTATGGTTTCCGAACACGTCATTTACATGGACTTGTCGAAAGTTTTTGATCGATTACCGCATAGTGTGATCTTATTTAAATTTGAAAGACTTGGGTTTTCTCCAAATTTGCTAAACTGGTTTGAATCATATTTGGTGGGTCGCAGTTAATAAGTTTCGTTTAGATCATGCATTTCAATTCCGTATGTTGCCAACTCAGGGGTTCCGCAAGGTAGTCGCTTGAGGTTTTGTTATTTATAATGGCAATTAATAATATTACCTCTATTATTAAGTATAGTGAAATTTTAGTTTATGCTGATCATATAAAAATTTTTAAGGTCATTTCCTGCTTGGAGGATAATAATAAATTGCAAGAGCATTTGGCTTTTTTTTTCGACCTGGTGCAACCACAACATTCTGCTCCTTAATTTTTTGCAAATTCGTTTCTTTTATTTTTGATTACTGTATTAATAATGAGCTTGTAGAAAGAGCTGATTTTTTTTAAAGATTTGGGTGTTGTCTTTGGTGTAAAACTGACTTTTAGAACTCACTTGAATGCAATAATCAATAAGGTCAACTCAATGCTTGCTTTTGTAAAAAGGTGGGGTAAAGAATTCAATCATCCTTATATTCTAAAATCTTTGTATATATCATTGGTTCGGTCTAATATTGAATATGCAAGTAAAGTTTGGCCGCCACATTATTGTTTCCATATAGGAAGACTTCAGGCGGTTCAAAAGAACTTTATTAAATTTGCATTGCGTGGTCTAAATTGACATGATCCGATAAATCTGCCGCCGTATGGAGACCGACTTAAACTTTTAAGGCTGAATACTTTAGAATCTAGAACAATCGTTGCAGATATTTTGTTCATTATCCAGGTTAAAAATGGGCAAATTAATGAGTTACACTACATAGATAAACTAATACACTAATAAACTACAAGAATTAAAACATTTGTTGATTCTAGCTTAAATACCAGTACCCGGTTTACGTTAGAAAATATATTTATTACGGCTTTTCATCGAACAAATTGTGGGAAATACGAACCAATAAATAGGGTGTTTATTAATGCCAATAGATATAAAAATTTTATTGATCTGTCACAAAGTAGAGAACAACTAAAAAGGTTTTGTTCTCCAAATTACCATTGGTTTTATCTGTCTGGTAGCTTTTACAGTTCAAGTTTATTATATATATACAGGTACTTCTCAGGTGAAAAAGCAAAAATTCCATCCGCCCTCCCACTTTAGCCCCTCCCAAGGTGCTTTGTAATCGTTTTTTACAAAATGGTACTATCCTGTAGGGGTAATTTTTTATTTACTTTTGGTGGTATTGTATGTAAATTCATATTTGGAAGTGTGAGTTATAACAAAAAGTTTTAATAAAATCTACATTGTTTTATAATAAGTATGTACGTACACATTTAGTTTTGTATTCTTTTCGCGATTAAACTTCTTGACAATATATTTTTAGGGCAAAATTTTATAAGAAAATGTTATTCTAATGCATTAAACTTTTTACAAATAGGGTATTTTCAAAAAAATATTTAGAATGGAAACTCGCTGATATTGATTTGTAAGGGAGAAGCTTTTTAAATTTCGTTTTAAACAAAAATAAAATTATGAATAAATTATCAATAACAAAAAGTTCATCTAGGAAATCGCATTTTTCAGGATTAGCATTGGTGTTAACTCATTGTAAAGTCATGCGTGTTATTCGCATGTATTATAAACTCCAAATACCTACATGCATGCATTTTAGGAGCGAATTATTTTATGC